TGACTCCAGATTGCCGACCTTCGACTGCTTTCCACCGCAAGACTGTTTGTATCAATGCAAAGTGCTACCATTGGGCCTTAGTAGTGCCCCAGCAGCTTGGCAGAAATTTATTACTTTATCGTTATCAGATCTCAAAGGATGTGTTGTGTACATGGATGATATTTGTGTATTTGGTAGTAACCCTACCGAATATCAGGAAAACCTTCATAATGTGCTGCATAAACTGAATGAACTAAATCTCCGCCTGAATACCAACAAATGCCAATCCGCTGTAACGGAGGTCGAGTTTATTGGGCATGTTATTCCTACCTCGGGTATTAAGCCTAATGTGCAGAACACCAGAGCCATTCTCAATTGTCCAAAACCATGCAACGTTACACAGCTGAAATATTTCTTGGGTTTGTATTCTTATTATCTTCGACATTTACCGAATTTCGCAACTATTGCAGAGCCGTTACGGAGGTTGACGTGCCAAAACCAGGAGTTTCGTTGGACCACTGAACAAGGCAAGGCTTACTTAACTATACGACCCATGATTGAATCAACTCCCAAGGTAGTGATCTACAATGAGCACTGTCCAACGTTTGTTTTAACGGATGCTTCAGATGCTGGTTTGGGTACAGTTCCGTCCCAGCTGCGCGATGGCGAGGAGAAACTGATTGCGTACGCATCACGTACCTTGTCTGATACTGAAAAAAATCATTCCACCGGTGAGAAGGAGGCCTTCGTATGCGTCTGGGCATGTGAGAAATGGCACTTTCACTTATTCGGACGTCGATGTACTTTGCGCACCGATCGTTCTGCTCTTAATACGCAACTAAGTCGCAGTAAAAAAGGACAAAAGCCGGTACGCTTGAGTCGCTGGTACTCACGTTTACTGAACTATGATTATGAAATCAAATAAGTGCCATGGTGCTTTAACCAACTTGTAGATGCTTTGTCGAGACTTGCACTGTCTAACGAAGGAGGACTTAGAGGAGGTAAAAATGATATCGCAGCTCTCAAACGGAACACCTACAATAACATTTCACCTGACTGACAGTTCGGCTGTTGTCAATTAAACTGGGTTATCGGATAAAGACTAGTAATGGGGACGGGGAGGGAAGTGGGAGAAACGGATGAAAAGGAAAGAAAGGAGGGGTCAGCAGTAGCATGTTTTCGTTTAGCCGCCCTGCTGTATGCAGCAGACAAGGCAACCCTAGTAAAGCTGCACGATGAATGATGTAGAATGTGGTTGACAGAAATAATGACTGTACTTGGGCTGAAATGCTGCCGAGGCGCTCAGACCTAAATAGGAGGACGATTAGGGTCCTCAATCAAAGCCTTTGACTCGAAATCCTGTCCCAATGCTGCGCGAAGATGATAATTTAGTTATACGAAGATATACGCCACCCCATTTCAGACCCCTAACTTGCAAGACCAGGAGACTGAGTTTGTCTGGCCTCTAAAAATTGACCAAGCTGGTAGGAGTAGCACTTAAGTTGCCCAAGGGTCCACCTAGTACAGCTCAATGGGTTAAAGAGGTACGCAAATCATCACACCCCATTAAGGTCCCATCTCGTAGCGACGATGTGCAAAAATGAGAAAATGGGCATATCGACGTATCCACGTTAGGTTGGGGAAAGATTTCTTTCGAATGTTCCGTCCTCATGCGTGTGTAGTAGAACGTCTATTGAGACCAAGCAGCTGTCTTTTTCAACTTGATTGGCGAATTCCAATGAACGAGGCACGCGATTAAACTGATCTAGCAGTGTCTCAAATTATGAATGAAACTCAGACAATGAATGTCATCCGCAGAACGGTAGTAAAAATGGTGTGAAACGATGAGGTTACTTAGGTGCCCTCGTTCGAGCTTTACATGGAAAATGTCCGCCAAGAGGAGGCCCAGGGGAAAATCCATTGCGACCCTATCGGTCCGTCTGCGAAAGGTCCTGTCAAACGAAAATTTCAGATTGAAGGTGCCGTTTCCGTAGGTGAATTTCAACATCACTGTTTCTCTCAGTGACGTAGTCACAAATGAAATTCACAGTCTCTATCAGCAACAAGTTAGTGAAAACCGATTCCATATCAAAAAACTAATTCTGAAGCTACCAAATCGGGAAAAAAGGATCAAGCGTAAGATGAGATAGTCAGTTGGTGGAGAGTTGCGGAGCTTCTCTCTCCCAATATTGTACTCCACCACCGGACGGTTTCGTTTTGATTTGGACTGGTCAGCTAAAGATAACTTGAGCTGAGAATGGAGCCCAGCACAGTGGTTGGCGGCTTTCATCCTGGTCACTGGACCACAGCTCCACAGCAGCGCATGACACAGCGGTTAGAAGTTCCTTATTAGGTTTTGGAGTACCTGTCGTGTATTTCGATTGTGACACGTAGTCTCGATGGAGGTTACCGTTTGGTCTGGAGGAAACCTATGCGATTTCGATCACTAGGACCGCATCCGAAATGGAGAGTTTCGGAGGGGCTTTCACCCAACAAGGCACTCCACGACCGGAACGGTTTCGTCTTGATTTGGACTCGTCAGGTAAAGATAGCTTGAGCTGAGAAGGGAGCCCAACACAATGGTTAGTGGCTTTCATCCTGGTCACTGGACCACAGCTCCACAGCAGCGCATGACACAGCGGTTAGAAGTTCCTTATTAGGTTTTGGAGTACCTGTCGTGTATTTCGATTGTGACACGTAGTCTCGATGGAGGTTACCGTTTGGTCTGGAGGAAACCTATGCGATTTCGATCACTAGGACCGCATCCGAAGTGGAGAGTTTCGGAGGGGCTTTCACCCAACAAGGCACTCCACGACCGGAAATGTTTCGTCTTGATTTGGACTCGTCAAGTAAAGATAGCTTGAGCTGAGAAGGGAGCCCAACACAGTGGTTAGTGGCTTTCATCCTGGTCACTGGACCACAGCTCCACAGCAGCGCATGACACAGCGGTTAGAAGTTCCTTATTAGGTTTTGGAGTACCTGTCGTGTATTTCGGTTGCGACACGCAGTTTCGATTGAGGTTACCGTTTGGTCTGGAGGAAACCTATGCGATTTCGATCACTAGGACCGCATCCGAAGTGGAGAGTTTCGGAGGGGCTTTCACCCAACACGGCACTCCACGAAAGACCGGTTTCGCCCTCATTTGGACTCGTCAGGTAGAGATAGCCTGACCTGAAAAGGGAATCCGACACAGTGGTTGACCGCTTTTGTCTTGGTCACTAGGCCAAACCTCCACCGTAGCGCTTGACTCAATGAGTAATAATTAATTGGTGTTTATCAGTAATCAGGAGTAGCGCTGGTGCAAGCCTAACACCCTTCGGATATTGCGAATATTCGCTACACTCCCACCCATACAATGCTGCCACTTCGATTACTGTATCCAGTAGATTGATAATAGTTGCTGCGCTGGAAAACCGGGTGCGCAGTTTTCTTCACAGTGTTGGCTTAAGGAGTGATGACACTATGGAACGGACTACTGCGCATGTACCATCATGTGTACGTCCGTTCCGTTACGCCCAATGACGTAATATTCAGTGAGGGAGCATTGGGTGGCTCTGAAGCGACCCTGTCACCAGTAGACCAGAAACCTACAGGTTTTAATCCTCCTGACTCTCAATGGAGATGATGCATGTAGATAGAGCTGCTAGAAGCGGTAGAAAACTGCGCATGAACACTCCATAGTTGCACACGCTCTGTAGCTGTTAACAACCGCAGTCACAAGCTAACGTGATATCGGTGCTTCAATAATCATATTTGTTAGTGTGATGAAAAATAAACACGTAACGCGTTTGCTGGATCTTTGGATGAAAGCGGTTCGGGGCACAGAGTCACCGCATATTGCTATCGATAGGACAGAGACTGGTAATTGGCAACAAGATGGAACGCGATTTACACAGACTGCTGAAACGTAATGATGGTATGTTGCGAGAGTTTGCCAGTAGCCCATGATGAAGTTAAAGCAGCTTCGCTGTTATCCATCTTAGGGGGGCCACTCATCATTTGGAAATGTGAGAGACAACCAGTGATAATCTGCAAGTCAAGAAAGATCAACACAGTAGACTTTACGCTAGTGCTCTGGTGTTCAAATGATTGGCGTGTAGTGAGAATGTGGTGAAGGCATTTCATACTAATGCGGACAGAAAACTGGCTCTCGCTTACTCAACCCCGTAAAAGTCGGTAAGAAACGACAGTATAATGTGAGTACCGTATATTACCGAATATAAGCCGAGAATTTTTGGACAATTTTTCGTTTTTGTCGGCTTATGAAAAGGCTATATGAAAGTTAAAAATGGCACAAGCGAAATCCACAAAGGAATTCCCTGTCTAACACTGTCCTTATCTCCCCTTAGCCTTACCCTCTAGTAATGGATGGTATTTCAAGCGGGGATTTGTAATGCCTATAACTGGAAACGTTACTGCTGTGCGAAAATTTCTATGCATATCACAAATTTGACGTTCGTGAAGGATGGCAGTAGCGAAACAAAAGCTCTTAAACATTATGTTGTGCCAGGTGATCCGGTGCGTTAAAAAGGCGTGGCCCCACATCTATGACTGTAAACTTAGGTCTCAAACACTGCTCTATCTTGATTCATATGCATGTGCCCCACTCTCACTTTGCGCTATAGTCGGTTGCCTTACCGGTTTCGTGACTTAATCTCAGGTCAATACATTGTCCAGCTTATCTATGGACGGCCTTATATTCAGTGATATATGGTAGTTGGAACGAAAGTGGAAGGAAATTGATAACATGGTGATTCGCAAATGGACGTCCTTTGGACATACTTAAAATCGGTGTGACGATGGATGACCTCCAGTGAGATGGTTCTTTCTCCTTACAACCTGGTATATAGCAACTAGGGAAATCATCAGGAGTTACCACTGCCCTTCAGTAATGATGTGGTGTGTTCCGCTTCATCTGCATCAGACAATGTCGGATCTCGTCCATTCAAAGTTGTCACGAGACAAACTGGATGCATTAGAACGATACCAGGACGAAATCAGGTCACAGAATAAATAAAAAAAAATAACGGCATGAAAGACAACAGTAAATGGTATTAGAAGTGTACTTCAAAAATAGTGAAAGGTGCATTTCAAGAAATGTGCACAATAGTGTATGGGGTTCAACAGCGTTTGGATGCAATCCACCTGGGCTATCTGTCAAGGACAGCTGTATCCGGATTGAGGTTTGGTGCTAAGCACTCATTTACAAGTTTCAGCAAAGCTGGATTCTCCAATGCGGCAGCAACGCGCTCCTTATCGGCAAGTTGCTTGTTAATCTCATCCTCCGTGTCGTGTGTGCCAGGTGTTATAACAACTTCCGTCTGTAAACATAAGGAAGAGGCAGTGTGGTGGTGGTGGTGGTGGTGGAGTAGGGGTAATTGTCAAGCAAATGGGGCAGCGTTTGAGACAAACATTCGGGCGAAGTAAATGCGACTGTGAAAACAAATAAATGGTGCAACAACATCATCAAATGGAAGAAGCAGTAATTGGCAAAATATAGTCGATGACTGGCAACTTGTCGGTAAAAGTACAGCTATCAAAATCGATTCTTCTTATGGTCGGTTATGCCAAATTCAAGGCACAAATTTCCAAGTGAGAATTGAGTAGAAGAAGCCGACAGAGGCCAACACTTCGGCCTATGTGGTTCTTTGGATTGCATTTCATTCTACCCTAGCATGCTAGCTTTAAGCAGTCATTTCTAAATGAGGGCTTAGAAGAAAACGTCAACGGAACTTGTTTCCCCACTCTACGTATCTCAATGTCTCTTCAACGTTAAGTTGTTCCCGGACATATTCAACGAGTTCCTAATCCAATCAAGCGTTTAGTATCTCACTCAAAACAGACAAATATACTATTAATGTCTATGTAACTTTGTTTTTAGTTTCATCTTAATATTGCTTATTTTCATATAGCTTAACGCACTTACGTAAATTTTATCAGTTTCATTTTTAACTTTTGATTATAATGGATCCGCAAAATACATTAAGACGGAGTTATCATGAGTAAATCTGCAGTTTGTGGGGGGGGGGGTGGCATTGGCTGCTGACCTGAATATTAGAGAAGGGAAAGTTCTTTAGAGAAAACGAAAATTCGAAATATGAAACGGGTCCGAGACAAGTCAGTAATCCGGTGTAAAACACTTAAATTTCCTACCAGAGTGAAGAAATACATGGCATATTGGAACAAGCCGAACATTGAAAAAAAGTAAAGCCCACTTCCCGCAAAATTTTGTTTAGCTCCAATATTGTAGAAGCAGTTTATGCGCGTAAATAAATGACTGTGTTCCTTCATGATTGCCGTCTCTCGACAAACACAGAGGAATAGACAATCATTAAAATCCAAAAACACAAACCAACAAGTGGAATGCCGGCAAGGTGACCTTCCCTAAAGTCCAAGACTGAGATCGCTAACAAAGCATCAGAAAAACAAGCTCCAAGCCTGCAAGTGGCGCCGAATCAGGGCAAAATTTAAGGCATCATCATCAGCTCATAGAATTGTCTGTAAATGAACAAATTTGTGTGGTAGCATCCGTTTGCAGATCTGTTTCCCACTGAGATTTGAACACTCCATCGATGCTCATGTCTAAAGAGGAGCCATGGGTAGCCTGCTCTGCACTACACCCTGCTACGTTCGTACAAACCAATAATAAACACGAGGGAAAAGGACAGAGGGGCATGTGGTTGGTGAGCATCATGTGCCCGGACTTGGTATACACTCCTTCGAGATCTACATCACGGAGGTAAAGTTGTGAAAAATACGTGTGCTATAGGTACCCAGGGCGATGACGATGCAGGACAGGACCACTGCGTCCGAGTAGTACTATCACGAAGAGTGTGCACCCAGTCTTCCAAACCAACGAGTAGCTGAAGCCTGAAACCAGTATTGATCAAGATGTCTGTATTTGATGGACACACACTTCGTCAACAGTCATATATAGTGCAGCCAGATGAGATTTATCCCCGCCGGAGGGGACCTTCCTCTTTAGTGCACGTATAACCCAAATGAATTGGCAACGAATAATACACGATTCAACCGACTCATTGAAGGCAATTGGGCAACGAAAGTGTGACAGCAACATCACTATCCAATGCATATATTCATGTACGCTGAAGAACGATGGCAACAGGCTATCTGGGGGGTCTACCAAAAGCATAAGTGAAACGAAGGAAATCATCGAGTCCTCGTGTGGCTGCCACATATATAGTGAACGATAAATTAAAACATTCTATATATGCAACAGAAACAGTGCGAGCCGTCGAAGGTAACTTCAGTCACAACGAGCCGATTTCGCCTAGCTGAAAGAACGAGGCACATTCTAACAGTAGTAATCTAAGCATCAGTAAAGATGCTGCACCACTGTGACATAAGAGAAAGGTAACGGTAAAGTTACCTTGAAACGACGGGGTAGAGAGCGCAACAACTTCACTTTGATCGCCAACCCTATTAGAGTCGCCATACTGCATCCGGGAATGGTGGGAGTGAAACGAACAGAGACACGACCGAGAGAATCATCCACCTCGATTGTTTGGTCAGAGACGACGCCGAGAGCCTCTAAGGTGTGCGGGTGCTCTGGGTCACGAATATCACGAACATGCTCTGCAAGCCAAAAAAGAGCATACGAAAGAGAGGTGAATAATAGATACAACCGTCCAAAAACACGAATAAGACAATGCAGTAAACGACAGAGTATAGAAATTGAAGAGAAATAAGGACAAAACACTGGGAATGTGTCCGAATGAAGATAACACTTTGGAGTACCGCACAACAGTTGCAGTGTTTTTCACCTTAAGAAGGGGCATCGGCAGCACGCCGCTACGCGATAACAACGCTTCACTGCCACGTAACCACCAATAGTCGCGTATGGGCTAATGGTACTGCGAGGGTCGTCCGGTCCCCTGCGTAGCTTTGAACACGCGACTTTCGGATTACAAGGCAGCTATGCGATCCTTTCGATCACGGGACGGAAAATAACAGCTGTCTAAACACATCATTTGAACGTATTCCATCTTGTCTGTTGGTCGACAGCCGGCGCTCACGGAAACAATGAAAGGTGAATCAGATAAATTCGTTTGTGATCAGACCCCAATATACTAAATAATAAACTCTATCCTGGAGCATATGCAGGATGCCACACTGCCCAGTTGGGTTTCGGAGTGCTCGCCGTGTGCTAGGTGGTGGTACGCAATTACAGTTCAGTTAATGGTCATGTTGATCATAAAAAATAAAAAGGAGACAAAAGCAGCATGTTGCACCGAGGTTTCGCCGACACGTAAACACCACCAGTCGCGCGTGGGCTAAGGATTATGCGATGGTCGCAAGGCGGAACATCCGTCAAACATGATCATTGCGCACTCGGTGTTGCCAACACACTGGCAACTCTCCGCACACAGCTACACTCAAAGGAAAGGATTCACATCCGTACAGTAACATCGCGCGCGACGTGGGTTGTTTTCGCACCGAAGATGTGGACGAGAGAAGAGGAGTGGTGGTCAAGCGATGCTCAATAGAATGAAAGACTTTAGTTCGAATTTGGTCTCGTTTAGAGCCTTTTGGCTCCCTGGTTGGGGTCGGAAAGAGGGTGAACACGTTTTGGCAGGTACACTTGTTGACATGGATAAGGACAGACCTCAATGGCCTTGACATTATGAGTTTCTTTGTTCCTCCCCCTCCCGCTTAACCTCCCCCTCCAATCACGAACTCGTTTCCAAGTATTGTATAAATTTTGCATAATATAAATTTGGTGGCACAGTACCGGCTGGTAGCTTTCCGGAACGATGCCCATCCGTTACCTTTTGTTGAGCTGACGTGCCGCTGTTGTAGGTTTCTTCGGCTATTCTCCTGCACTACGATACAATAGCTGACGTGTTTTCCACATCTAGTTAACGTGTATGATGAAGATGATGATGGTGGATGATGATGATGATGATGACGACGATGATGATGGATGAGGAGGAGGATGGTGATTGTGATGATGAAGATAGAGCTGCCAAGGCACTTGAATATCTGGACGACTTTTAGCTTATCCCCACCGAGGGTCAGTGCAGGAGTGGGTCCCTACGAATCTTGGAGAAGGACTTGCCTTTTGATGGTGCAAAGCATAGCTCGAAACGATTGACAGCAAGAGCTAATTTGCCTAGTGGTGCTTAGCACTTAAGGGCTGTCACAGTCTACGGCCATTTCGCCAACGTACTCCAAGTAAGGAAATCGATCGAATGGGAACAGTTTCACAACTTGTGGGTCGTGTCTAGTGAATACAGTCTCGCTGTCGACAGCGAGATTAAAAGGTCTCACACCCCTAGGGATAGTGAAGGGCTGCGACAGTTTTCTTTCATTCTGCCCAAAATACGCGTGTACAAGCACTCCTGTGACAATTAGGTGTTGCCCACCAGAAAACACTGCACAACCACGACGCGTTTCGATGTAATTTCATCTCATCAGGTGGAGACAGCAGGCCTCGATCCCGCGACCATTGGAATAGTAGCCCACACCACTACCCCTTTGGCTACCGGGTCACGGTGGGCAACTTTTTTGTCACAACGGTAAATGACTAATTGGAGGGTCAAGTTTGGACTACACGTTGTGTGATTGGATTGCGATACGCAACCTCAATGTAATGGACGGTGATTCACATTGAAATGAACCTTAGTCACTGCGATCACCTGATGAGATGAAATTACATCGAAACGCATCGTGGTTGTGCAGTGTTTTCTGGTGGGCAACACCCAATTTCCATCTACTTTGAATACGGTCCTAGTGATCGCAGTGACTAAGGTTCATTTCAATGTGAATCACTGTCCATTACATTGAGGTTGCGTGTCGCAATCCAATCACACAACGTGTAGTCCAAACTTGACCCTCCAATCACTCCTGTGACATTTATATACCTATTGAGCAGACCTTATTAGAGCAGATGGCCCCAAACAGCACATCGATAGAGCGAATGGAAGAACTTTAGTAAAGAGGAACACAAATGCAGTGAGTTACTAATAAATACGGTGATTTCGCAACAACCCTGTGGCGAGTGCTGTGTCGGAAGCTAATGATCGCGTAAAGTAGATAAGTATGTTTACGCAGAGGTAGAAATTGCTCAGTGGTATCATTACGGGAGCTCACATCGTGTTGGTCGCCAAGATGTAGCGCAAAAATTGGTAACTCCAAACCTAAGCGCTCAGATCACCAGCCCGCCAAACACACTACCCGTACTTCTGCTGTGAGGAAGCAGCTCGTAAAGTTGGTCATAGGAGTCATATTTCACCAAGTCAGCGCTACAATTTGTAGGAGCGCAAGCAGCAATGACAAAAAGCAATCATCAGACTTTCGAGGTTGCAAAGCTTTTAACGAGTTAGAAAATGTGACGGCGAACATCCTGTTGTTGGTTGGGATCCAACGCATCAGAAAAACTTCAGCCCAAGAGTTCAAAACAATGCCCATACCGGAATGGAAAGCTGCGGAAATCTCCAGACAAGCGCAATGAGAAAGTGTCGCCAGTGTCTCATTTAAGTGGATCGCAGGGTAAACACAGAGCTCGAATCTTGCAGACAAGTTTCGATCGAGAAGGCCTCTAGTGTTTGGGGAAGTGCTGCCTATTGCCAAAGCTGCGACAAAGTGCGCAGGATGAGGCGTGCTAATCTTAACGAGAATGGACGACCGGAAAAGAAATGTGACTTTGTCGTTTGAATGAACTTGGACTTATCGACTGGACCAGAGTGACGCCCTGCGACTGCGCGTGATTCGAAACTAGAATACAAACGACTATGGAGACAAGAAGCAGGAGGGACAAGCATTGTAGGTTGAATTCGGAAGATGGGAAAAGCGCCGTAGAACGACAGCGATGAGGTCTGAGCAGTAGTATCCTCCTATCCACAATATGCTCGATGCATTAGATATGGTACTGTTAAGTCGACTCTGCGAGGACCAGAGCATCAGGAAATTGTTTGAAAAGTAGTGCATCGTGTTGGGTGGGTAGGATGCTATCAGTTTTGCAGTTCTAAACAAGAGAGTGATTAGGATTCTTAATCCAAGCCTTAGAATTTTGCAATGAATTACAGTGTGTTCATCTGATAGAGTGTGTAGCTACCATCACTTTAAGCATAACCTGCAGGGCCTGGACCGATCTGGTATGAGTGGCTCTGAAGGTGCAAAAAGCACCATCTAGCATAGCTCAACGGGACACTGAAACATCAAACCATTATCGCGATGGACATCCTATCGCAGGCGGCCAATCAATGGAGCATGGGAAGGATATAGTTGTATCGCGCTCCAATGGATGTCCTAGGGTAGTGGAGCCGAACAAACGGATGCAACACATTGTTCTCGTATGCATTTCACTCGGACAAGTTACGGTGCGTGTTCGGCTCAGATAAGGGAAGAACAACAGGCCGGAGTTCGTGCATCGGCTTAAGCATTCCAGAAGCCATGAGAAGAGCTTTGGAGGTGATGCACATACTGGTAATGCAATTATCATTATTCAAAGTCCTAGGGTTCTATGAAGGGGGTAAGAGGCCAACCAGATAAGAAAAGAGAATATAGTTAACGTTACAACAAGACTGCGCTATTAGGTAAACTGCAAATAGCCATTCTAAATTGATGACATTGGGAAAGTACTCGCCTTCTAAAACTAGTAGCTGATAACTCGCAACGGGTTCGCTGTGGTGAGTTTGTAAGATCGCTGTTAACCTATCATCACGGAATGCGCGTCCATAAGTAACGTGGCTGGAGGAAGAAGTTGTGAAAAATCATCCAGAGAAGGTATTGCCTCCGAGAACATCGTTTAATGGAATATGAGTCGCGGAACAGATAACCCCACTGGTTAAAATCCTTAGCAGATGCACCGCAGTCTAAGAGTAACTTACATTGTCGAATTTCAGTCCACACTAGCGGTACCGGTTCATCAAATCTACACACTCACCATTTCAGTTATCTTACATCAGCCGTAATGAACATAGATTTATCCAATTTAATATCCCCCCAGTTGCGTTAACTATGGGAGCTCGATCCAGTAAACTACGACAGTTTTCATTTGGAACAATGGTATATAACGGGTAATAGAAATAGAAATTAATTATTATAAAGCGGATGAAATAAAAGATGCATGGGCAAAGCGATAGAGTAATTGTGTTAAGATGGATGTTTGGGGGAATGAGATAGTACAGGCAAAACCAAGTAAAAAAGTTGTGATATTTAGTACTCATAGTAAGTAACAAGCAGATTGATCTCCCCTCTGCACAAATTTACGTGAGTCACTGTGGGTCATAATTCCAAAGTGGCCAGTTAGCTGGAATAAATCCAGAATATCCGCTCAAGTAACAAAGTGCAGAGCGTTCAATTCGATATCCAAGCGTTTTTTGAAAACAGCTTATGTGGGTGCATGGACAACTGAGTTTAGAAGAGCGTTCCCAGGTTGGCAGACCCGGAGGGAAAAATAATTTCGTCCAGAATGTAGAAGACGGTGTTGTTGACTCAGTTTCAGGCTATTGCCTCTGAGATTGTTGTTCGGGCTGAGTTTCAGTAGGTGGCGGCATACATGCATGGGATCGCTTAGTGTATTGCAGACTAATATAAGGTCTCCAAGTAGCCGCCGGTAGTGTTCACTGAAC